GGTCTCCTTGTAGCCCCAGCTGTCCTGGAACTCGCTATGTAGACCAGGCTGGCCTCGAACTCACAAAGATCTGCCTGCCTCTGCCTCCCAAGTGCTGGGATTAAAGGCATGCGCCACCACATCCAGCTTTCAATTTATTTTTATTTTATGTGTCTGAGTGTTTTGCCTGGATTTATGTAAGTGTACCCATGGCATGCAATGCCCACAGAGGTCAGAAGAAGATGCCAGATCTCCTGGAACTGGAGTTCAGATGGTTGTTAGCTGCTATGTGGATGCTGGGAATTGAACCTGGGTCTTCTGTGAGAGCAGCCAGTGCTCTTAACCACTGAGCCATCTCTCCAGCTCCTGTGTGAAGCTTTCTATTTGATGTAATTCCATTTGTCTGTTTGTTTTTGTTTCCTTATGCTTTGGAAGTCTTGTTCAAAACAATTTTTGCCCATTCCACAATCCTGAAGAAATTCTATGTTTTATTCTAGTAATTTCATAGTTTCAGGTCTTGCTTTTAATTAAGTTTTGAATAGATTTTGAGTTGTTTTTTGTAACTGGTGAGAGGTAGGAATCCAGTTTTATTCCTTGAATACTTGAGTATTATGGTGAATACTCAATTTTCTTAGCAGCGTTTATTGAAAATACTACCCTTTTCCCCCATGTTCATAGCATCTTTGTTAAAAATCAGTTGGCGATAGATGGGGTTACTTCTAAGATCTCAGTTCTGTTCATCTGGTTTATATGCCTCTTTATGCCAAAACCATGTCATTCTGATTTCTATGGCTTTGTAGTATATTTTGAAGTCAGATAATATAGTGTTTTCTGCTTTGTTCTTTTTTCTCAAGATTGCTTTAACCATTCAGTTTTAAAATATCCAGTCTGGAATAATTTTTCAAAGGATCCTATCTTTATTTTTCCCATGACAAACAAAATTCTTAGTCTGAGAAAACCAAAAATAAATAAACACATAGCAGAAACTAATACAAGACCATGACTCCTCTTGAGGTGAATTACTCTAAACTTAACTGTTCTTACAGTACAAGTTCTTAGGGCTGAATGTCACCTAAAGTCAAAAGAAAATTTTACCTGATCTGGGACTTCTTCGGAGTTTCACGCTCTAAAGCAAAAGTAGGGGGAGGAGAGAGAATAAGTGAAAGAATACATAAACACACTACATAAGTTTGAAGCAATAAATACCATTTTTGAAAGTTGTATTTCATAACTTTAGAGGCAGTAATATTTAATTTATAAGTGTACTGAATTATGAAAAATATCCTTAACTCTTACAGTGTGTTTCATAGTTTCATATCACATGGCAATTATTTCTAAATTTATCCCCTCTGAATTATTTCCTTCCTAATTCAGAACAGTGTCCTGAAAATTTATTTGGAGGTAAGTTGTTGACATTGTAATTACTGCTGGGCATGGTGGTGCATGCCTTTAATTCTAGTACTTGGGTGGCAGAGGCAAGTGGATCTCTGTGAGTTTGAGACCAGCCTGGTCTACATAGCAAATTCCAGGCCAGTAGGGCTACAGGAAGACCCTGTCTCAAAAAGACAAAAAAAAGAAGAAAAAGAAATTGTAATTACTTTATGACATTGGAAAAGGGCTGATTGTTCCTTGCAATTTGAGTTAAGATAAAGACCATTATGTGTGCATACTATTAATAATAATTATAATAATAATTAAAATTACATTAACAGTGTAATTTTCCAGCATTACAATTTAGAAACTATTTTTACATTCAGTACTGGGGTTATTAAAGACAGTATCTTGTACATGCTAGGCAAATGCTCTAACACTAAGCTACAGCCCCAGCTCTGTAGGAATTTCTAAATATTTGTTTAATATCTTTTCTGATCTCTAAAATTTAAAGAAAATAGTTGGTTCAAAGAGTGTATGGAAATGCATAACAAGTGTTCAGAAACACAGATTTTTCTTCTAGAAAAATGAAACCTTATTCTAAGTAGTTTTTTAAAATAATATGCACATGTTATTCAAAAATTGCTATGCTATCACAGGTAACATGATACAGCCTATGAAATGACTGTGGTGAATAAGCTGCCTACTTGTGAAACATTTACTTTTACCTTAACTGTCCTTTAAGAATCAGCTCAAAGTTTTCCTCTTTCACTGGGACTCCTTGATTACTTCCAAAATGCTCTTCTATACTTAGAATCTCTTTATTTTTTCATATAGCATTGATTGGATTTGTCTTGTTAGAATAAATGTAGCTAAAGATTCATATACACAGCTGGGTGTGATGGTGTGTGTGTCTTCAATTCCAGCAGAAGCAGGAATCTTCCTTTGTTGTCTCAACAACAAAAGAAGGGACAAGATACATATCTATATCTATATCTATATCTATATATCTATATATATCCTATATCTCAACTGTAATTGAGAATTGTTTCTTGTATATCTTTCTTTTTCAAATATTGTAGTTTATTTTTATTTTATGCATATGAGTGCTTTGCATGCATGTCTGTAGTGATGTGGTGTACCATGTGTGCAATGCTCCCAGAAGTCAGAATACATAGTGTACCACGTGTGTGCAATGCCTACAGAGGTCAGAACAGGGTGTCGAGTCCCCTAGAACTGGCTGCCATGTGGGTGCTGGGAATTGAACCCAGGTCCCTGCAAGAGTAGCCAGTGCTCTTAACCACAAGACATCTCTCCAGGTCCTCTTGTACATCTTTCTTATCCCCCACATCCTCTAGAATGTTGTTTTACATTTAGGATATACTTGATACTTATTGAATGTCAGATGTTAAAATACATGGAATAAAATAAATGAGTAGTTAAAAAAAGTAAAAGTTACTAACCTTGCTTGGCCTAAGTCTCACAGAGTCATCAATCTTTGGTTCAGATGTTCCACTCCATTCCAGTGATGCTCCAATTCTTACCTTTACTACTGAAGTTGAGGTTTCAGGAACACTTGGTGAGAATTCTTCTGGAAGAAAGTGAATATGGCCCAATTTTTAGGAATGAGGGTTTTTAAAAAAATACTTTTATTTATTATTTTATTTTATGTGTATGAGTATATTGCCTATATGCATGTAAGTGCTTCTGTGTCATGCAATGCCCGTGCAGGTCAGAAGAGGGCATTGGACCCCCTGGAACTAGAGTTATGGATGGTTGTTAGCAGCCATGTAGCTGCTAGGAACTGAACTGGGGTCCTCTGCAAGAGCAGCCAGTGCTCCCAACTACTGAGCCATCTCTCCAGCCCCTGAGGATTTTTTTTTTTAAAGAAATAAACTGATGCCCATCAGTAGCACACAGAGCATGGAAGGGATCTGAGAAGTTATACACACACTTGTACTTACTGAACTATACTCACCATCTTCCTCAACCACAATAAAAGACTCTGGTGTCCGTTCAGGGAGTGGAGGGGGAATTTCATCATCTACTTTTGGAGAAGTTTCTATCCAAAATATCAGAAATATAATCACAGTTTTTGATGAGAACAATTCAAAGTAAATTTTTATATTCTAATCTAATCCTAAATATAAATTTAACAGATCTATATTTAAATTTTATTTAAACATCATTAACAATGAATGGTTTAAGACTTGCTTGACCCAGGAAAAATAATAAATTTGTATTTAGGTACAAACTTCAGTCACTTTCTGTCCTGTTCCAGTGGCTTGTTTTCCTGGCTACCAAGTTTAATTTTTTTTTTCCTTTTGGTCTTTTTTGAGACAGGGTCTCCCTGTAGCCCCAGCTAGCCTGAACTCGCTATGTAGACCAGGCTGGCTTTGAATTCACAGAGATCCGCCTACCTCTGCCTTCCAAATGCTGGGATTAAAGATGTGTGCCATCACGCTCAGATGAAATACTTTAAAAAAAATAATTTTTATTACATTTATTTTTTGTGTGGTGTATGTGTAGGTGTGCACAGACCATAGTGCACGTGTGGCGGTCAGAGGAAAACTTGTGAGAATCGGCTCTCTCCTTTCACCATGAGAATCTCTGGATCAAAGTTAGGTCATTGGGCTTGAGAGCAAGCATCTTTACTTACTGAGCCATCTCACTGCTTCTTTTTGAAATTCTTGGTTGGCTTTAAATGCCCAAAAATATTTTGAGTGTTAGGTGATTTGGATTATTTTCTACATAACTCTTTCCTTTTGTTTTCCATAGAATGCATAAGGCACTTTGATCAGCTTCATTTACATAGCAGATAAAATCATTAGCCTTGTACTCTCCTTCATTCCATATAGAACCCCAAATGACGGGTTTTTTATTGATAGAAATAGAGATAGTTTATTAAGAAATAGAATGTCACTCTCAAGAATGGAAGTGGGCTACAGAGCAAGGCCAAGCTAAAAAGCCTATATAGTTTTCTGTTTTAATAAAAACATTCAGAATTTGTGCAGAAAAATTTACATGCTATTGTAAGAAACTGCCACTAGATGGCAGACATGTCAATTTTGCTACAATCTGAAAATTAAAAAAAAATTAATGTTGATGCTCTGAGAGATCTAAAGTATTATGGTTATTTAGAAAAAAGAAAATGTTGGCTGCTGAGGTGGCTCAATGGGTAAAGGCATTTAACACTAAGCCTGACAACCTGATTCCAACCCCTCAGCCATACGTGGTAGAAGGAAAGAAACAGCCCTCACAAGTTGTCCTCTGTGTGTGTGTGTGTGTGTGTGTGTGTGTATACATATACAAGGAAGAAAGCAAGCAAGGAAAGAAGGAAGGAAGGGGGGAGGGAGGGAGAGGGGAGGGAGGGAGGGAGAGAAGGAGGGAAGAAATTCTGTATAAGCCAGGCTCATGTCCATAATCTCAACAACTTGAGAGTCTGAGGCAGGAGAATTGCTGTGAATCCCAGGCCAACCTGAGCCACAGAATGAGTTCTAGGCCAGCTTGGGAGACAGAATAAGACCTATCTGAAGAAAAAATAAATAAAATAGGTGAGCTGGAGAAAGAGCAGTTAAGAGCACTTGCTATTCTTCCAGAGAATCCAGGTTCAGTTTCCAGCACCCACATGGTGGCTAACAACTGTCTTGAACTCCAGTTCCAGGGGATTTGATGCCTACTTCTTGCTTCCGTGGCATCACATGCACATGGTATACTTGCATGCAGGCAAAACAGTCACACACATAAAATACAAATAAAAATTAAAAATAAAATAACAATAAATTTTTTTAATTTAAAAAGAAAGAAACATGAGCCAGGGCTGTAACTCATTATTAGAACACTTGCCTAGCCTGCTGGAGGCCCTGGATTCAATCCCCAGGACTACAAAAGAAAAGAGAAAGAAAGAAACTGCACCAAATAATGTTATAGATCAAAAGTTTCTCTGCTTCCTGACTAAGTAAAATATTCTTTGTGAATTATCTGATGAAGCACCTAAAAGAATTAAACTGGCTCTTTACTTTCCATCATTTTCTACATTGAATTAAGATCTGGGCTGGGGATACAGCTTAAACATGTGCCTGGCATGCAAGAGGCACTGAGTTCAGTCCACTATGCTGTAAAAAATAAAAAGAAAAAAGAAATTAAAAAGTCTATGATAATCTCTAACTTTATCTTCACTATTACTTTCAGACTGTTCTCTTAAACAAAACAATATGTTTAGTATGCAAAAATCTAGAATTATGAGATAAATATTCAAGTTGTGTTTTAAAATAAAAATTTCACACAAAATAGTAAACATATTCTCATCTATTAAGATACTACAAAAGGGCAGGAAGTCAGGTCCTTACCCTTCCAACTGCTACAGGAAAAAAAATTTCAATGGTTAGCAATATGTTCAACTCATTATAGGCACATAATTGCACAACAAACCATGCAGTGCTATTGGTCAGTATTTTTTCCTCTTCCTAGGAAGCTGCTTCTGTAAGTTAAAGGTAAATTGTGGGCTATATATAAACAAGTCTGGAACGAGGATGGCCTTCACTAGAACCCTTCCTGTTGGCACAAATCGTTTCCCAGATCTGACTGCCTTCATTGCTGCCTGTTCGATAGACTGTTACACATTTGATGTTGCTGTCTCAATTATCACATCGTCAAAACACTTCTTGTATTTATTTCAGGAGAAGAAAGAAGGAATTAGAGGAGGAGTAGGGCTAAGGTGAGAAAAGGCCAAATATTCCATGGAAACAAAGTAAAATTTAAAATCCGAGGCTAGCTTTTAAAAATAACTTACCTACTAAAGCTGGCTCTTGGTTTAACGGTGGGGAAAAATTGATCAGAGGGCTCAGGGTTAAAGAATCATGTGATTTTCTATAAGAAAAGAGGGTTGTGGAAGAGGCTGGCAACAAAGCACAAGGAAAAGAAACTCCATGTTGCTTCTCAGGCAGATCAAGGGACATCTTAGAATCAGCACTACTTGGAGGAGATGATGAAAAATAAGGATCTTCTGTTAGAGACGTGCAAGAATACACTCTGAAAGGGCTGGAGTTGTGCTGCTTTGCATGAGAGGCCTCACAAGTGTGGTGCTCAGCGTCACGTGGCAGTGAATAATTGAGTTCTTCTGAAGAAGCATGCCTCAATTTTTGAGCCTGCAGTTCCCTAAGACACGAATCATGCGATTGAGATTCCAAACATGAAAAACCGTCCTCCATGTCCAATTCCTTTGTTTTTCTCTTCTGAATCAATTCAAAAGGAGTTGATTTGGTCCGTGTCACTGGCCCCTTTGAATTAAGACACCTTCCTGCTCCATTTACACCTGGAGAATTAGGACACACCCCAAACAAAACGGAACTGAAATCCAGACTTTGATACTTCTGAAGAGCTTCCTGCATCATTGGAAGTGCTTTTGTATGCTCTTCCCTGGTTAAGTCAACATTGTAGTTACAACCGCAATTTAGCTCTAAAAATTCCAAAGAAGGGCTTGTCCTAACAGTGTGCAAAACTAACTCTTCCTTGGCACTTGCTTTGGAAGCCTTAAAGTCAAAGGAAGACGTTTCTGTGTTTCCCACTTTAACCTTTTGTTTGTTCTGTTGCCTTATCATTTTTGCATCTTTCATGGTGCTGAAACAAAAGGAAAGAGTAATGATGACACCATACCACAGGAGGCTTCTTCCCAGGAGCACAGTCAAGTACAAACATGAGATTGCATCTCCCAAGCATAATTAGTGAACACTTAGGTATGCACAATCTACTCACTTTTTTTGTAAATTCAGAGGACAAGGGTCTGCTTGTACAATGAGATTTTGCTCAGGAATTGAATATTCTGCTTGACTCTTCAAGAGAAATATCAGAGATTGTTTTTAAATGAAGCAATGTCGATGAAATATTTTAATATTCAGAAAACTGAGAAGCAATTTTTCAGAAGATGTAAATATCTAAAATAACTCATATTTAGATGATATTCTAAAATATTGAATCCGGCAAGAACTTGTTCATATACTAAGACTAAAGTAATCATAATAGAAGCTAAAAATAATTTGCTTATAGCATCAACTTTTCAATGTGGGAGTTTTTAAGTGTTCTTATGGGTGACTTTTCAGTCTCACACAGAAATTTCAGCATCTCAGCCCTCAAAGTGAACTGGGTGTTTATCAGGTCCCTGTGCCTGTCTCCTTATTCTATTCTTTTCTCCCTCGTTTGTTCCCTGTATCTTGTTTTTCTTGTCACTCCTTTATCATGCCAAACATGTTAACAATCCGGAGTTTTTATGGATGCTATTCCCATGACCGATAGATTCTTGCTCCAAATTTTGTATGGTGGGTGCTTTATAAGTAATTAGCTCTCTTCTGCATAATGAAACCTTTCCCCTCACTCAGCCTAAATTCAGCCTTCCATGCCTTCCCAGCCATTCTCAGTCTTTACTTTCTTTATAGCAATTATCATGTTACAAAATTCAGTACTATGAATTGTGAAATATATCCCAATTTCAAAGATATTAAAATGTAAGAAAGAATAATTTTAACACTCCCTCTTACAGGTTTGTGTCATCCTAAAAGGTATGCTAAAATCTAACCTTGATACCTGTGAAAATGATCTTACACTGGGTGAGAGCAGGTCCTGATACAATGACTTGTGTCCTTATGACCAGAGAAGATAGAGACACACAGGGAGAATGCCATGTGATAATGGAGGCAGAGACTGGAGTGATGTATCTATAAGCCAGTGAATGTGAAGGACTGTCAACAAGAGGCAAGAGAGTTTCCCCCCGAAAGCTATTAGAGAAGAATATGGCCTGCCAACACCTAGGCTTCTGGTCTCCAAACTGTGGGAAAATAAGTTTCTATTGTTTTAAATGCCTCCACCTTGTAGTATTCATTAACAGTAGCCTTAGCAAACTAATGCAGACTTCTATGTACACACTCAATAATGCACAGAAAACAAGACTGGGCCTAGCAAGATGGCTGAGCAGGTAAAAGTGCTTGCCGCGCAAGCCTGGTGACCTGAGTTCTATCCCCTACATAAGGTGAAAAGAGGGAACTAACTCCACAAAGTTGTCCTTTGGCTTCCACACATACACTGTGGCACATGTGTCCCTCTGCCATCATGCAACCACACAAACACACCATTATCATAAGCATCATCATTATAAAGCAGATTGAAGATTATTAAGGAAACAGGACTTGAAAACCATCATAAACCAAATAGACCCAGAAGACATATATAGAACACTCCACCCAATAATAGCAGAATATACATTCTTTTTTTCTTAATTTTTAAAATTTGTATGTGTGTGTTTATGTATCTGTCTGTCTGTCTCTGTATGTCTGTGCATGCCATGCCACACATGTGGAGGTCAGAGGACATCTTTCAGGAATTGGTTCCCTCCTTCTACCACGTGGGCCCCAAGGATTAAACTCAGGTCTCCAGGCTTGGTGGAAAGTACCTTTATCCATTGAGCCATCTCGACAGCCAAGAATGTATATTCTTTGCAAGTACACCTGGAACATTCTCCAGGATAGACCATGGGTTAAGCCACAAAACAAATCTTATAACTTTTAGAAGACTAAGATCATACCAAGTACCTTTCCCAATCACCATGGAATGAAACTAGTCCCAAGTTCAGTTTCCAGTACCCACATAGTGGCTCACAACCACCTATAACCCCAGTTCCAGGGGATCAGATGCCCTCTTCTGGCCTCCACAAGTCTTCTACACACACAGTGCACATAGACTCACACAGTCTCACATACTTACACATAAAATAGAAAATACATAAATCTTTTTAAAAAAGTGTTCACTAACCTTAGCTATCATGGAAATGCAAATTAAAACTACTTTGAGATTTTATCTTACCCCAGTCAGAATAGCTAAAATTAAGAAAACAAAGACAACAAATGCTGGTAAGGATGTGGGGAACAGGGAATCCTCATGTAATGTTGGTTGAGAGTGCAAATTGTTGTAAACACTATGGAAACCAGTGTGATAGTTCCTCAAAAAAATTATAAACAGGTCTACCATATGACCCAGCAATACCACTCCTGGGCATATGCCCAAAAGACTTTATGTCCTACTAGAGAGACATATGGTCATCCATGCTCATCGCTGCTCTATTCACAAGAGCTAGGTCATGGAAACAGCCTAGATATCCATCGACTAATGAATGGATACTGAAAATGTGATGCTCATACACAATGGAATTTGATTTAGCTGTAAAGAAAACTGAAATTATGAAATTTGCAGGTAATGGATGGAAGTGGAAAACATACTGAGCAAAGTAATAAAGACAAAGGTTAAAAAGACAAATGTCAAAAGTTTTCTCTCAGACATGGATCTTAGGACCAAATCTTTAGATGTGCGTGTTTAACTTGGAGTATCTAAAGAATCTAGGAAACTAGAAAGGGACCATTAATAGGGAAGGGGAGGAAAGATCTTGAGGAAGGGAAAACAGAACACAAGTGATATGACAGAAAAAAGGGGAGGGAAGTGTATGTAAGAAGAGGGATGGAAGGGTAGAGCAGAAGAGTGGGTGAGGGAAGGCTAACAACACTAAGAATGTTTGGAAAAGCCATGTGGAAACCTACTGTTTTATTCACAAAAAAGGTCTTAACTTGAGTTACCCTATACAGGGGATAAAGCTCCTCCCAGAAGCCATATATTGCCCAATAAAAAGCTCAGCACCAGGTGTGGGATACTTTAGTTGTTGGTCACGAGTGTCTTAGAGAACCCTCAAACAATAAGGATATTGTCTGTGTTCTTTTTTGCCTACCATAACTTGATAATAAACCCCATCATTGAAGACACCACACATTTTGGTCATAGGACAGGATAAATCAGGTTGGTACTGACCAGGAAGCTACTTCTCTCCCAGAAGGTGCTATGTAAGCTGCTGGGGGGAAAATTCATCAGTAGTCTTACCCACCTATGAACCCTGTGAATTACAGTAATGACTGGTATGGCAAGATATGCCTATGGGTGCAATAGTTGTTCCAATGTTATGGGGATAGGCAATAGCATTCTGATTAGATTTAAGGCCTGCTCCACAGAAAGAAGCATATACCTGGTATTGTAAATCTGATCAAAACAAATGACTGGGGAGCTAGCTCCAGTAATGAACCTACTACTATTATTTTGCTACATAATATTTTGGTAAATGTGTACCTCTATGCCCACAAATTAGTGCAGCTCTCATCAAATTAGTTTCTTTGTGCAGTGGACAGAGGTTAATGCAAAAAACTCACAACTCATCAGAATTCAGAGAATAAGTGTCAGTGAAGTGCTCAGTCACAAATGGGACATCTTCGTCCCCTTCCCCAGGCTCAGGGAATTTCATGGAAGAGTGGGTGGAAAAACTGTAAAAATCAGAGGAAAGGGTGACAGGTCTGAAACACTGGACATGACAGGGTACTTGTGCTTGTGAACTCACAGCAGCTATGGTTGCATGTACAAGACATGGACAAGATCAAGTCAGTCAACATTCTAGGCTGGAGTGCAAAGGGACTTAGGAACCCCCACTCTTAGCTGAGGAACTAGGCAGCTGATGGCTTCTTGGGGATAAAGAGTCAGTTTTCTTTAAGGGTGTGGCCCCTCGTTGGTCAACCACACTCTAGTGGATGGCCCTATGCCCATGAATATATGGGTAGCACAAACTGGACTTGGTGAATTATTTTTTTAAAGAAGAGAACATGAAGTTGGGAGGAGTTGGGGAGATGAACAGTGGATCTGGGAGCATTAGGGGAAGGATGGGGATTGAATATGATCAAAATACATTATACAAAATTCTCAAAGAATTAATAAAAATATGTTAAAGCATTAGGGGCTGGAGAAGTGGCCCAGTAGTTAAGAGAACTGACTGCTCTTGCAGAAGACCCAGGTCTGGTTCCCAGCACCTAAATGGCAGCTAACAACTATCCTTAACTCCAGTTCCAGGGGATCCAACACCCTTTTCTGGTCTCCATGGGTATTGCATGACACAGCTACACTTACAGGCAAGACAGACACATAATAAAAAAATGTAAAAATTTAATAAGTAAAAATTTAAAAATAAAGCATACATTTATTTAGTTTGGATAAATGTAATAAAAGAAAGAAATGACATTTTTTTTGGTAAAGGAAATATCCCAAATAAACAGCCTAACTTTGCATTTTAAAGAGCTTAAAAAAAAAAGACCAATGCAGGGTTTGGTGGCACACACCTTTAATCCCAGCACTCAGGAGGCAGAAGCAGGCAGATGTCTGTGAGGCTGAGGCTAGCGCTTGGTCTACAAAGCAAGTTCCAGGCCAACTGGGGTTACAGGGAAACCTTGTCTTAAAAAAAAAAATCAAACCCAGGTTGGAGAGATGGCTCAGCAGTTAAGAGCACTGTCTGCTCTTGCAGAGGACCCAGGTTCAATTCCCAGCACCCACAAGGCCGCTACAAACCATTCTTAACTCCAGATCAAGGAGCCCTCTTCTGACCTCCGTGGCATTGCACGACATGGGTGCACTCACATACATGCAGGCAATACACTCATACACATAAAATAAATTTTTTTTAAATTATAAAAATGCTGGGCGTGGTGGCACACGCCTGTAGTCCCAGCACTTGGGAGACAGAGGCAGGTGGATCTCTGTGAGTTCAAAGCCAGCCTGGTCTACATAGTGAGTTCCAGGACAGCTGAGGCTACAGGGAGACCCTGTCTCAAAAAAAAAATTATAAAAAAACAAAACCAACCAAACAAAACAAAAAAGGATCAAATCAATCTCAAACTTAGCAGAAGCAAAGACATATTAAAGATAGAATGGAGATAAGTGAAATAGAGAATAAGAAAGACGGGAAAATGCAACAAATATAAAAAAATCAACAAAATTGATTAGGCTTTAGCTACAATAAGAGAAAAAATCAAGTTATTAAAGTCAAAGGTGAAAATGAGGAAACTGGAGAGAGAGCTCAGTAAAGTGCTTGTTGCACAAGCATGAGGGCTTTAAGTTCAATCCCCAGAACTCTGCATCCAAAGACAAGAGGATCCTGAAGCTTGCTGGCCAGTCAGCCTAGCCTAACCAGTGAGCCCCGAGTCTCAGAGACTGTCTCAAAAAATAAAGTATATGGTTCCTGAGGAATGGCAGACACCAAGGTTGATCTCTGGCCTCCACATGCACATGTACACCTGTGTATCTACACACTAACATGCATACACTTACCTGCACAAACACAAGATGAAAATGTGTGCATTACTGCTCATTTTATAGAAGTAAAAAGAATGAAAATACTATGAAGAATTGCATAGAATTACAACATATATTTCACACCAACAAATTGAATAATCTAGATAAAGTGGATAAATTATTGGAGATAGTCAAACTACAAAAATTGGTTAAGGAAGAAATGGAAAACTAAATAGATCGCAACTAGCAAAGAGAGTGAATCGATAACTAAAACTGAAGAGGTCCTGAGTTCAATCTCCAGAACCAAGGAGAAAAGGAATAGATAAGTATTGGCAAGAATATAGAAAAAAGGGAACAATTATATACTATTAGAGGCCATGTGAATTAGTAGAGGTATTATAAAAAACAGTATGGAGGTCCTTCTAAAACTTAACAGACTACTATATGATCTATCAGTTCAACTTCTGGTATTTCTTTTTATTATCTTTTTTAAAATTTTTATGTGTATGAGTGTATTCCCTACATGCATTGGAGTGCACTCATGTCGTGCAGTGACCACGGAGGTCAGAAGAGGGTGTTGGATTCCCTGGAACTGGAGTTATGGGACAGTTGTAGCTATCATGTGGGTGCTGGGAATCGAACCCAGATCCTCTGCAAGAGCAGTCAGTGCTCTGAACTGCTAAGCCATCTCTCCAGCTCCAACTTCTGGTATTTCTAAAGCAAATGAAACCAGTGTGCTGTGTTCATGTATATTGTGGTATTATTCATAATAGCTAAGATATGGAGTCAACCTAAGTGTTCATGGATGATTGGATAAAGAAAATGCGGTATATATTCACATTGGAATACTATTATACCTTTAAACGGAAGAAAATAAGGGTCCAGAAAAATGGCTTAGTGAGTAAAGTGCTTACTGCACAAGCGTGAGGACCTGGGTTTGGATCCCACATAAAAGCTAAATGTGTCAGGTCTGTAATTCTAGATCTGAGGACTGGAAACAGGTGGATTCGGGGGGGGCGGGAGTTGCTAGATACCCAATCTAGCCAAAATAGGAGCTCCAATTTCAGTGAGACACCAAATCTCAAGAATAGAAGGTGGGGTGGGGCTAGAGAAATGGCTTAGCTGGTAAGAGCACTGACTGCTCTTGCAGAGGACCTAGGTTTGGCTCCCAGTACCCACATAGTAGCTAACAACCATCCATAACTCCAGTTCCAGGGCATCTGACACCCTCTTCTGGCCTCTACAGACATTGTATGACATGGGTGCACATACATACATGCAGGCAAAACCCTCATACACATAAAATAAAAATTAATTAAAACAAAATAGAGAAGTAATTGAGGAAGGCATCCTGATGTTGACCTCTGGCCCCCACATGCACCCACAGGTGAGTGCACACACACACTTAGACACACACAAACAACATATACACAACATACAAAAGAAAGAGTACTAGGCCTGATGGCACAGGCTGGTAATCCCAGCTACTTAGGGGACTAAGGCAAGAGGATCATAAATTCTATGATAGCCTGGACAAATTAACAAAACTGTCTTGAAATAAAAAGAAAAAAAATATCTGGAGAGATGGCTCAGCAGTTAAGAACACTGGCTATTCTTGCAGAAGGCCCTGGTTCAAATTCCAACACCCACATGGCAGCTAACAACCATCTGTAACTCCAGTTCCAAGGGCTTCAATACCCTCTTCTGTCCTCCGAGGGTGTTGCACAACAGGGGTGCACTTACACACATGCAGGCATAACACACTCATATACATAAAATAAAAATGAATAAACTTTTTAAAAGATTTTTTAAAAAAACACAGGACTGGTAGGGTCTGGAGAGGTGGCTCAGTGGTTAAAGAGCCCATACTGCTATTGCAAAAGACCTGAGTTTGGTTCCCAGCACCCACATCACTTGGCTCAGAACTGCCTTAATTCCAGCTCCAGGGGATCCAACACCCTCTTCTGAACTCTAAGAGCACCTAAACCCAAACATGTACATACCACCCCCATACACATATACTCATAATTAAAAATAAAGTTTTTAGCCAGGCGTGGTGATACATGCCTTTAGTCCCAGCACTCAGGAGGCAGAGGCAGGTGGATCTCTGTGAGTTCGAGGCCAGCCTGGTCTACCTAGTGAGTTCTAGGCCAGCTGGGGCTACAGAGAGACCCTGTCTCAAAAAGACCAAAAAAATAAATAACAATAAAATAAAAAATTTAAAAAGGATTGGTAATATAGCTCAGTGGTAAAGCAATTTCCTGGTGTTCACAGGCCCTATGTTCAAGCCTCAGGACCATTAAAAACCTAATAACAAGGAAATTCTGTTATTTCTGACAACATGGATGAACCCAAAGGACATTGTGCTAAATGAAATAAGCTAAACATAGACAAATACTGCATAATTACATAGGGAGTCTAAAGAGATACAAACTCACAGAAAAGCACAGAGTAGAATGTTGGCTACCACGGACTAGGGACTAGGGACTAGCAAGAGGGAAGGTTTGAGGAGATGTTGGTCAAAAGATACAAAACCTCAGTTAGACAAGAGGAATAAATTCAAGAGGTTTACTGTACAATATGGTGACTCCAGTTAATAGCAATGTATTTTTTTTATTTTTTATTATTTTTATTTTATGTGTATGTGTGTATTGCCTGCATGTAGGTAAGTTTACCCGTGTCGTGCAATGCCCCCGGAGGTCAGAAGAGGATGTCGGATCCTCTGGGACTGGAATTATGGACAGTGTTCTTAACTGCTGAGCCATCTCTCCATCCCCATAACAATGTATTATGTATTAGAAAACTGCTTAGAGTATAGCTCTTAAATGATAAGTATGTAAGGTAATAGATATGTTAATTAGCTTTATTTAGTCATTCCACAATATATTAAAATATTGTGCTGTACACTATAAATTATTTAATTTTTAACAATTTCTTATTTAACAATTTTTAAAAACAAAAATTTTGGTGACACATTTGCCATGAAAATAAGACTACTAGACCCTGAAAAAAACTTACCTATGCTATTATTTTTTATACTTGTTGCTCTCACTTCTAACTTTTTGATAATTGTCTAAAATATGGGATCAGAACATATACTTGCCCTAATTTAGTTGTTTCTAAATTAAGCTGAAAGTTATATGTAAGAAGTTAACCAAGAGATGAATTTTCTAAATTAACCTACCCCAACTTGATTTGTCCTCCATAGGATATTTTTAACATAATCCTATGAGCCCTGGCACACCGATTGAGTTTGGCAATACATAAGTCCTACAACTAATCTGAGATCTGTTGGCCAAAAACTTATGAAAAATAACACATCTAGTTTAATACCTAGTTTAAACGTTACCTCTCTTCTGGAGTGTTTATCTTCAATAATACCCATGTGCCTCTTGAATAGTTCTAGTACAGCATTGTAGACCAGTTCGTATTGTTCCTGAAAAGCATCACAAACCAGACAAAGGAAGAAAACCAAAACACTAGGTGAATTACGGAACCAGAATAGGAGCATCTATCAAGGTAAGTTATTAAACTTAATAATAGTTTCCTTTGCTATGTATGCAGCCCATTAAAAATTTCAATGTACTTTTATGGTGTTAGAAATACTTAAATATTTTGTGTGACTCTAATGTACAAATATTTTATGTTTCTTTCACATTCTAACCTGATTTTTTTTACTCTACTCATATTCTAACCTTATTTTTTTACTCTATCATTTCTGTTTTCTTTATATACACATTTTATGTATAATTTATGCTAGATGTAATTTGAGTAAATCACCTTCATTTCTGGAAAAAGGTAGGTTGGTATGCAAATATTATCTAACTGAGCCCTCACAATTGTTCTGTAGAGGAGGTGGGCTATTATACCCATTACAGCCAATTTCTCCAAGGTCATTCAGAAGTAGTTCTTGTGATGTGGCCTAGGAGCTGAATCTTCTGACTTAGTTTAGTGTATTTAGGTCAAGCTATTGGAATTTTTTCTTAGTAAAGATACCAATGAAAAGTAAACCACTGCAGAAGGTTGGGAATTTGTGGTTTAAAAGGATTCAATGTAGAGAAACAAGACTTCTACTATTACTACCACTTATTACAAGGGGTGTGGATTTTTACTACGTTTTTGCCTTTCTACTTGCTGAAACACTTTCTCTGACATGTTACACAATCCCATATAAGGAACACTTTCTAAAGGTCTTTTTTTTTATTATTTTATTTTATGTGTATGCATGTATTGCCTGCATGTAGGTAAGTACACCCATGTCGTGCAATACCCGCAGAAGTCAGAAGAGGCTGTCAGATCCCCTGGAACTGGAGTTATGGACAGTTGTTAACTGCCATGTGGGTGCTGGGATTTGAACCCGGACCTTCTGCAAGAACAACCAGTGTTCTTAACCGCTGAGCCATCTCTCTAGCCCCTCTAAAGTTCTTTTTAGCAGAACAAGGTAGAGTCTATATCACCCAGCATAATCATGATATGCTCTAATTTTTTTTTAAGACAGAAAATGTAGCCAAGCATGGTGGTTTACAACTGCAATCCCAGCACCCCAGGAAGCTGAGGCAAGGGGATTGCTATAACTTGAAGGTCATCCTGGGCTTCCATATTGAATTCCAGGTCAGTCTTGGCTATGGAGTGAGACCTGTCATAGAAAGACTGAGGGAGAGGGGAAAGGAGAGAAGGGAGAGAAATGGGTGAGGGGGACAGGGAAGAGAAACAGAGGAAAATCAAACAGGAAACACTCATCTGACTAGACTGTCATTTTGTGGTTAGAGTAGTGTAAGATAAAGCAGCTACAACTGTTCAATATGTTTAGCTAGTCATTAACAGTGCTAAAATAGGAAGTTTTTCCAGTTATCTTCAAACTCCTAAAAATAGTACAGAAATGCAATTTTCTGAAATGGGACATGGCTTTATTAATTTATACTGCAGTTCACATAACTAGGTTGCATCCTTCCTGGAGTCTTTATATATTTATATTGATTGTCCTTTCAAGTCTGACAGTACTAAGCCAGCTAATGCCTTCATTTCATATAAACTTTTCCCTTTGTGGGTTGAAAACAGAAACCACCTACAGACAACACATGAAAAATTATTTTTTTCCACAACCTATTAGTGGAAAACCTGTGCGGGCCAAACAGATACTTTTATATTAATAGTGCTTCATTTTTTCCCCTTCATTCGCAACTTCTAGATTAAAATATCTAAACTGTCATTGTCAATGGCTCTATTTCTAGATCTAGTGTAAGTTCATTTATAAGTACTCGAAACACTTCAGGATGGTCTTTCTATTTTAAACAAATTTTAAGGCCAAGTGTGGCAGTGCAACCTTTAATCCCAGCACTCAGGAGGCAGAGGCAGATCTCCGTGAGGTTGAGGCCAGTTTGAGGGTTATATAGTGAGACCCAGTCCCAAAAATATTTTTTTAATCCTAACAAATTATGCAAAATGTCCTTATACATAATAAATATCAATAAACATTTAATGAATGAATAAGCAGGTAAATGTTAAATTCCAGCATAAAGGAAAGACCCTGTGTATAAGTGTGAGTCAAGTTATTGGTGTATAAATATGGATGAAATTAATACTGCGGACAACAAGAGATTTGGACTCAGGAAAAGCATTCCTAATAAAATGAACAAGTGTGGGCAATCTAGAGTGGGTTCAAAGATTGTAATGTATAACATAATCTGGTTGTTACTATGTTTTAAAGTATGCCTATAAATAAAACAAGGAAACCATGGGAAAATGGTAACAATAGCAACCTCTATGATAGGAACATGGCTGATTTCAGTTTCATTTTCTATTGCTTCCTAAAGTAGAAAGTACATCATCTCTTGCAGTAGAAATGGCAAGTCCCTGATTTGTTGTAGTTTCAGAGATGGATTTGTTACTACAAAATTTCAAGTTAACGTGATGACCCTTAACATTAGCTATATCTTTTGAGTAAGTCAAACAGTTCATTGATTTTTTTTTCAACTTCCTTTGCAAGCAAGAAATATGTTGCTTTCCTAACATTTTCCAAATAGACAGTAAAATGTGAGGATTGAAAAGAATCTAACCAGGACAAGGGGTACAGTCAAACATTAGGATATTCAGTTAAAGAAAAATGGGTTGGCCACTAAAACACTTAATAAAAGTAAATTGATCTTAGACCTGAGCACTCAGCAGATTTTGAATATCTCACCATAATCACAACCTGCAGCAAGATTCAGACAGTCATCTGTTCACCATAGTCCGTACCTGAGTTTGAACTAGTGAAGGCCTCTGTGTTCGCATTTCTTGGATCAAATTAAAAACACTGAAGTTTTCAGGAATAATCTGTTGAATCAAAGAGTAAAATAGCTTCCTTCTTGTTATCTTTTATTAACAAATCATTGTCACTTCCCGAGTCGCGTACTCTTGTGATACCTGCTCTTCTAATATAGAACAATACCAAGAAAAGAACAATTTTTTTTCTTTTCTAATTAATTGATTAAATATGTGAGTGGGTGCATACGTGTCACAGCATGAATGTGAACACCAGAGGGCAACTTTGTGGAGTAGGTTCTCTCCTTCCATATTAATATGATTTCTGGGGATTGAACTCAGGTCAGTCTTGCATGGCAAGTGCTTTACACACTGAGCCGTCTCACTGCTTGACCCTACCTCCCTTTTTAGATATGATTTCATGTAGCTCAAATTGGCCTCAAACTTGCTGTGTAGCCAAGGATGACCTTGAATTTCTGATCCTCCTGCCTCTACTAGTGCTAGGATTACAGGTGTGCGCCACAAAACCCAGTTTACAGGTTTATGAAGTATTGGAGATTAAACCCAAAGCTTGGTGAATGTTAGGCAAGCACTCGACGAAATAAGTTATATCCCCAGCCACCGGAATTCATTTTTAAACTAACATTATTTCTTATCATTTCCACCATAATTTAAAGGCTGGTATTTTTCCTAGAAAAGAAACTTCAGAACAATTTAACATGGGGTGATCAAATGTTTGAGATCATGAGAGGTAGGGCTCAACAGAAAAGCAACTATGAGGTTTTAGGAAACAAAAGATGTTAGAAAGTCTAAAACATATTTCAAAATTTTCCTTTCCTAATAGACATAAAATGACTTCTACGGCTGAGGAGATAGCTCAGCTGATAAAGCAGGTGCCATGCAAGCACAAGGGCCTGAGTTCAGATCCTGCGCACCCATGTAAAAGCCAGGTATGTCTGCAACCCGGATACTGCGGGGGAGACAAGTGGATCCCTGGAGCTCACTGGCCAGTCAGCCTACCCAAATAATGAGCTCCAGGTTCAATGAAAGACCCTGTTTCAAAAAATAAGGTACAGAACTATTGAGGAAGACACACAATGTGAACTCTGGCCTCCACATGCACACGCTCCCACACAAACATATACATCACACATACATGCATGCAGGTACACAATGATTTCTAGATAATAACACAAAGTTTGATTGAGGTAAGTTGAATCCATCTGCTAAAATAATTGGATAAAGGAAGAGTAAATCTGCAGTTTAGGGCAGCAGTTCTCAAACTAGCATTTTTCTGAATTACCCTCAGGGATCCATACTTTTATTTCTACCAAATTCCTAGGTAACGTTGATCCTTCAGTGTAGAGATCACACTTCGTCATTGTGGGGATCATACTCAGGACCTCCTGTAACCAAGACAAGTACTCTATGATTGAGCTAAACACTGTGCCCCTCAGACCACACTTTAAGAATCACCAGCTTAGGGGTCAGAGAGGTGGCTCAGAGGTTAAGAGCACTAACTACACTTGCAGAGGACCCAGGTTCGATTCCCAGCACCCCCATGGCAGCTAACAACCATCACACATGGCAGGCTAACCACTGTCCTTAACTCTACTTCCAGAGAATCTGACATCTTCTTCTGACCTCCTTAGGCATTGCATGACCCGTGTGTACTTACACACATGCAGGCAATACACTCATATGCATAAAATAAAAATAATAAAATATTTTTTAAAAAAAGAATCACCAACTTAGGAACTAATTTAATCATATGAAAGAGTGGATCTACATGTAAGAAAAGATGATTTGTGAAGATGCTTTGAACAACTGAACTTTTAAGTCCTGAATACACAGAGTAAGAAAACAGGAAGTTTCTGCTGAGAAACTCACCCCGTCTTTCAGGAGCATCCACGTATAATCAATAGCACAAATGACACCTGTCCTTCCACAGCCGGCACTGAAACAGAGAATCACAGTAGTATGTGGACTTGTAAAGAGCAGACAAATGACAACAGCTGGGAATGTTCACCAGTAGATTTGGGGAAGGAGAAATCTGGAGGAAATGAAACTTTTCAAATCCTACCATTTCCTAGAGCATGTTTGTCATGCCACAATGACCTCAGGATAGTCTTGGACAACTTCTCACAAGAGTCCCTGAAGCTACACTGTTCATAAGTAATTTATAAGAAACAAAAATAAAAGTTTAAAAATGAATCTAATTTGACACTAGAACCTTAAAAGGGGATAAGCGGGCTTAGGGATTTAGCTCAGTGGTAGAACACTTGCCTACCAAGTACAAGGCCCTGGGCTCCGTCCTCAGCTCTGAAAAAAAAAAAAAAAAGATGAAAAAAGGTGGGCGAGGGGGGGGCGGATAAGCATTGCTTAGCATCCCCAGGAAAAGAATTCTCACAACAGATGGAAAATTTATTTGTTAATGTTATTTTGTTTCATAATTATTAAAAAAGAAAATGAGAACGTAAAAGATGTTAAAAGGATATGGCAATGGAGATATTTTCCAAAATAGACAGAAAAATGAGAAAGCCTAAGCAAGTAATAAAGGTCTGTGTAGGTTTGTTGATACATAAAAGATGAGACAAAAATAATACACATGCTGGGCATGGTGGCACATGCCTTTAATCCCAGCACTTGGGAGACAGAGCCAGGTGCATCTCTGTGAGTTCAAGGCCAGCCTGGTCTACATAGTGAATTCCAGGCCAGCTGGGGCTACAGGGAGATCCTATCTTAAAAAAAAATATATACATATAATCTTAAAATTTCTAAGGTCATAGTATAGTCAACTAGTTCAAGAAACAAAATATGTATCTAGTCAAGGTTTATCTGAGAATGTTTGGTTCTTAACTTATTAGAAACAAATAAAAAATATACATATAATCTTAAAATTTCTAAGGTCATAGTTTAGTCAACTAGTTCAAGAAACAAAATATACATCTAGTCAAGGTTTATCTAAGAAAATTTGGTTTTGCCCAAGCTTTATCTACATAGCACATGGTAATTAAAAGTACCAGACTGGTGGAACTAACCTTCTTGGATGTTTAACAGTCATACTTTGAGGCCTATACTAATGCAGTCAGAGGGACTTAAAGGACAGTTTTTGCTCCTTGCCCTCCAAGGTCAATTAAGTTCCAAGGGACTATGGAGCATCTCTCAAAATGCCCTGTAACTGTTGTGAGTCACCTATCCTCTTGTTCAGGGAGGCCATGGAGACCCCACCAGATGGACTTGAATCAGTCTCCAGTCTATAAAGAGGAGGGTCAACTCAGAGGAAACATTTCCTCCAAGCTTCTAAGTGAAGCCAGCCATGGTCAAGCAGGACCTTTGATTTATGCTCACATAGCTAGAACTGGTTGAAAAAAAAAAAGGAGCCAGGGGATGTGACCCCTGAGGAACAGAGCTTCAAACGACCTTAAGAGTAAAAATAAATTGATTTATTTTTGCCAACTATACAGTCTTAAACACCCAAAAGGAAAGTATAACCAAACATTAAAGTGATCAATATATTTCTTTAAGAGTTCAAGGGATTACACTTCCCAGACATTAGGCTTAAGTGCACATAAAATGTTATTTAGACATTTATTTCTCATTGATGATTTTGTTTCTAAGCAGAAAGTGCTGCTCAGATGTAAGACTTCAAACCTTGGTCTGAAATACTGTAGTGACCACCTGTAGCTAAGGGAGACAACCCACTATTCTAAAATGACTAAAGTTGTTTTCTCCCTCTATTTAGAAGCCTTTGAGAGGAAACTGACACTGATTCTAGCCACTCCAACAGCTACCAAAGTGCCTGAAAACAGATCCTGAGTCCATCACTCTTGAGTCCAGTCTTGGCAGACAAAAGAAAAACGAGGAGGAACCCAATAGAGGAATGCTTTTGGAAGCTTTCATCAAGAAACTCCAATGGACTCTGATATGAACATTTGAAATTTGCCCTGTTCTGACTCTTTTCTGGTGCCCTGTCTAGAACTCGTAATGCTAACTACTCTTGCCTTTACTTCTTCACATCTCCTAGGCACCAGTCGAGGACTTTTTTTCTCCTTACAGATAAGAATTATGCAATTTGGGAGTCTGTTAGATAGACCCTCTGAAGGGGTACCCCAACTGCCTTGCCCTGCATCCCTGTTCAGCATGGAAGAAGCCCGAATGGTCTGCGACCCGATTCCCTATCAGCAGTTTGGGTAATGGTGTGATAACAATAGGAGGTAGGAATTGGCTAGGCAGTTATGGTAAAAAGACCTCAAAGAAAAGTATCCAGTTTCTTGGCTAAAAGTCAAAATGTCCTTGGTCCTCTTAGCAACATACTCTGTTCCAAAGGCCAAACATGTCAAAAGTATTTGGGAGATTTTATCTAAACCCTAAAAGATTTTAGGGTTATCTCTTCAGAGGGGGAATGTTAGAGTAGCAAAAAGCGCCCCCCCAAAGAGAACAAGTACATGAAATTATCAGAAAAAACTGATGGAGAGATATGGGAGGAATTGGAGTGAAGGGAGTGGGCATGGATTTGATCAAAACACATTATATGCATGTATGAAATTCTCAACAATTTTTTTGGTCTTTTTGAGACAGGGTCTCCCTGTAGCCCCAGCTGTCCTGGAACTCACTATGTAGACCAGGCTGGCCTTGAACTCACAGAGATCCACCTGCCTCTGCCTCCCGAGTGCTGGGATTAAAGGCGTGCGCCACCACGCCTGGCTTCAATAATTTTTTTAAGTTAAAAGATTTTCAGTATATTAACAGAATAAAGGTGATGAACCATTAAAAAAATGAATGTAATGTTCCAGTTGAACTTACAATAGACTGTTTCTGCTATTGACCCTGCCTTTGGATTATTTTGTTTGTTCTCTGATGGTTCATTCAGCACCCTACCTGCAATGAACACATATGGGCACGCTGTCATCTTCTTGGTAACAGCGCATATCCCAGATGAGCTCAAGGATGGGGTCTATAGATGAAGGCACATCATGGTCTGGCCAGTTCTTGTAATGAAACTGGTAAATAATTCGAGTTTCCTATTTTAAAAAATAGCCAGAATAAGAGGAGAGTTCAAGGATAGGATTCCCCATCATTCTACCAAAAATTAATCTGGTTTGGTTCTATCTATATCTTTTTTCTTGCAATTTATTCTTTCTTCTCTATAGCTCTCAAGTCTTATAAGAACAATTAAAATTAACATAAGAATGTTTTCAACTGTCTTATCCCTAAGTAACTCATTCACCCAAGAGGAGGAGGACATGAAGATAGTCCAAACCAAATCTTCCCCAAATTAGTGTGTCTCAAATGGATTGTAGACATGTTGATATGTTAAACCCCCTTGCCTTTACAAAAATAAGTCAGCTTTATCTGTCAAGTTGATATCCATCTCTGTTCTCACTATCAACATCATTTTTTATGTATGGCACAGTGTGCCATAGACTGGCAGGGGCACAGATTACACTGGGGTCTCTTAGGAATCTGAAGACTTAACTCAAGACATCAAAGGCCCTACCAGTCCCCACAGTCTTGTATCCAGCCTGAGTCACACGTACATATTTACCTGCCTGATCTTGGAAGGCTCTGAGTGTGTCATTCTTGTTCTATACTTACACTATTAAACTTGGCTTTCAGAGTCCTGATTATATAATCGGATTTCTTTTTCTCCGCTTCCTAAGGAGAAAAGGATTAAAATATTAGCAATTTCAAAGAAAAGCTCTCTAAAAAAGTAGGTTTTGCTCAGCCATAATGGAAACACATTCTACTTACACAGGATATGGAGAAAGGGCCCAATTGCAGCTGCATCTCTCCTGGCTCGGCCCAGTAGCGCTCACACTTTCTCTATTGCGTAAAACAGAAGTAGTGATTTCCTTTCATATATTTTAATTTATCCTATAAAATAAAGCCCACTCCCTCATTCAGAAGCAACTTCATCTTAGGTTAGGCACTTCTAACCTCCTTGGACTTCAATTCCAACATCATAATTGGGACTCTAAAGTATGTTAATACAGACACTAAAGGATAAGTGAATTACAGATTTCCTGTAAGTCTGAAAAAGTAGAAGTAGAAAGCCTTGATCTATTTTCAGTATTTAAAAAGAACTGAAAAATTATGTTGCATTAACATAAAACAGCTGCATTAGTTAATTGAAATGTCAGATTTCCTAGACATTGATTAGAAGTCCCAACTCAGAATGGCAACAGTAGATTAGAACAGTGATGTCCACCAAAGATGTAATGTGAGCCACACATTTAGTTTTATTATTTATTTTTTTAATTTAAAAAATTTATTTACTTATTTTGGCTTTTGAGACAGGGTCTCCCTACAGTCCCAGCTGGCCCAGAACTTACTATGGTAGCTCAGACTGGCCTTGATCTCACAGAATTCCACCTGCCTCTTCCTCCTGAGTGCTGGAATTAAAGGCATGCACTACCATGCCCGTTTAGGTTTAAATTTTTTAATGTCACATTAAAAAATGAAAACAGGTAAAATTAACTTTAGTAATATATTTTAGCCCAATATGCCAAAGTATTTCACCATGTAATCGATATGCAATATTTTATTTTACTTGCCTTGTTATTTTACTAAATACTCAAATCCTGGATATATTTCATATATACCACTCATCTAGTTAGAATGCTAAATTTTCATTGGAAATAGTCTCTTTCCATTTAGATAAATAAAATTCACATCTGAAAAGGTTTCACATATTCAAAAATAACTTCCAGTAGCTGAGTTGAGGATTGATTTTAGATTGAAATCAAATTAATTAAAATAAAACAAGTGAGTTATTCTATCATGCAAACCATGGTGTTTAATAGCTACATGAACTAATGGATGCTATGTTGGACAGCACAGGATTAGAATCTTTGATGGGCAGATAAAGACATCTCATTAACAGAAAGAGAGTGTATACTTTTCTTTCTTTTTTAAAGCTTTATATCATACTGGGAAAATAGGGAAAATATGTTCTTATAGGTAAAAATTCCCTAAGGGTCAGGTGGCATCCCAAGCTGAAAACTAGGAAGATGGTATGATTTTTTACCTAGGCACAATTCAGGAAAGTTCTGCAGTTATTCCTCCTGCTCTTTTTTTCCTTTACCTTTAGGTCAACCGGTACTAGATAGCAACTCACCTTCCCCATTTCAAACTCCATGCATGCCATAACAATGACCTGGAGGGATGAGATGGGAGCTTAAACATGCACAGAGTTAGAAAGGACAGTTCCTGCATGAGTCCAGGCATCAAAAGTAGTAAGTGTTATGCAAGTGCATTCATGTCGTCAGTGCCCTCGGAGGACAGAAAGAGTGTCAAATCCTTTGGAACTGGAGTTATGGATGGTTGTTAGCAGTCTTGTGGGTGCTGGGATTTAAATCCTGGTCCTCTGCATGAGCTGCCAGTGCTCTTAACCACTGAGCAATCTCTTCAGCCCCTTGTTTTGCTTTATAATCCAAAAAGAAATCCTGGTAACTCTTCCTTCTTTCTGTCCCCACTTCTCTGTTCTCAGATCAGTAAATTCTTGTTACCAAAAGAGCCTATCAAGGTGCCAACTTTCGTTTCCTCGAACAAGACTGACACTAATACTGATAAAACATGCCTGAACTCTGAAATTTCATCAAGCAACAAGAAAAGCACTGATTTTAATAGCTGGGAAACCTGCCATAGCCACATTCTGACACCCTGTCCCCTTTGTCTCTAAGAACTAGAGAGTGAAGTATCAGAAGTAACTCTGCACTTACCAGGACACTGTATTCCCAAATCATCCTCCAGAAGTCCAGGAGAGTTGTAGATAAAGGACCCTGGGTGGCAATGTAAGCCCTGGGACCATAAACTCCCTAAAAGGAACAGGAATCACATGAGATGACTAGAGACAGCACCCTCTTCCCCACTGTCCTCTCCCCATCCCCTATTTTTAGGATCTCAGAGAAAGAAGGAATGCTTTTATCTCCTCTCAGTCTACCTTAATAAAATTGGCATTGATGTAGCTGGAATCCTCATCAGAAGTTATCAGAGACAGCTCTACCAGGCTATGATCATCTATAATATGAGAGAAAGATATAGTATAAATAGAAGGCTTACACAGAGGGCTACATCAGGACCTAAGGACAGTGGTTGTTACAGGTGTTTGAGAAGTGAATGAATGATGCACTTGCAGTCATAAATAGGATAATCTAATTTGTCAATTCCATGTTCAAAGATTAGGAACAAGTAGTTGGTTTAAAAAATAAAGGAAATGATTAAAATTGGGAGGAAGTCTAAGTTTACCGACAGAAATGGAACTTACAGGGCAAAATATCCTTATATCTGTTTTTCTTGATATTCTTGGGCCTCTGAGCCACTGATGTAGGATATGTTTTGTCTGCCTTGTGCTTGGTAGACTGCCTTTTCAGCTTCTGTAAGAAAATTACAAGAATAATTTTTCCCAAGAAAGGAGTTAAAGAAGCTGGGAAAAATAGCTCAATTGGTAAAGTACTTCCTTGCAAGCACAAGGACCTGAGTTTGCTCTTGAGAACCCACATAAAATCAGGTGTGGGCCAGGCTTAGTGGCACATGCCTTTAATCCCAGCATGCAGGAGGCAGAGGCAGGCAGACGTCTGTGAGTTCGAGGCCAGCCTGGTGTACATAGTGTGTTCCAGAACAGTTAGGGCTACATAGTGAGACCTATCTAACAAACAACAACAAAAGGTGTGCCAGTTTGTAATCCCAGCACTGAGGAATGAGAGGCAGGTGGATTCTTGGGGCTCACTAGTCAGTCAGCCTAACCAAACTCTCAGTGAGAGACCCTATCTTAAAAACAAGATGGATGATTCCTGAGAAAAGACACTCTATACTGTCCTCTGGTCACACACCTACATGCACATATGCACTGTGCACCATGTGTGTGCACATGAGCGTGCTCAAGCACACAACACACACACACACACACACACACACACACACACACACGAAGATAAGCTATCTCTAGAGGGCTTTCCTCCTCCACTTTGCAAACATTCTGCTTCACCCCTTTTAGCATCCTCTGGGGCCAATTGCTTTCAGGACAGGATGTAGGGAGGCCAGAATTCAGAAACTTTTGAGAAGTGAAAAGATCACATTTACTGCAGCTGAGTCACAGGTAGCTAAAACTAAATGTGAAACTGCTAAATATTTAAGAAACCAAATATATCTTCTGAAAGTAAGCTATGTGCTCCACCCAAGGAAGAGATACTAAAAGCACGATTTACTTTCTTTAAAGTGACTGTTCAGTGCCAACAGAAACATCAAAACCCAGTAGTCTTTTCACTTGGTACCACCTTCTAAGTAGAAATGATGTTTAAGCTGAATATACTCTATCAAAATTTCAATAACTTCAGTTCCAAAGCATTTTTTAATATGACTCAAACTCTTTTTTTTTGTCTTTTTGAGACAGGGTCTCCCTGTAGCCCCAGCTGTCCTGGAATTCGCTATGTATTCCAGGCTGGCCTTAAACTCACAAAGATCTGCCTGCCTCTGCCTCCCAAGTGCTGGGACAAAAGGCATGTGCCACTGCCCCCAGTTCAGAATTTCAACTTTTGAGTGTTGGAAGTGTGCTACATTAATGGCAGGATTTTCGCTAGCAGCAGTAGAGTTTCCCTCTGACTGGTAGTTGGTAGTGGTCTCTGCCACACATACTTTAGTGTCCATTTGCACAGCTAGCTCATGTTCAGATCCATTTGAGGGACTGTGTATCTCAAGTGTTGGAATGTATTTAGCATGCACGGGGCCCTGGTTCAATCCCTAACTCCCACCAAAAAAAAAAAAGAATTTCAGGGCTGAGAGTATATATAGCTTAGTGGCAGTATATGTGCCTAGGATGGGGG